TAGTGCGTAGGTTTGGCTTTCAAATGAACTCTGACATCAGAGTACTTTTTTCGTTCTCGTTCTCTCTCTCTCTCTCTCTCTCTCTCTCACACACACACACACACACACACCCAAACTCACACTCTCACTCTCACTTCTCTCTCTTCTCTCTCTCTTTCTCTCTCTCTCTCTCTCTCCTATCTATCTCACTCTCACTCTCACTCTCACTCTCACTCTCACTCTCACTCACACTCACACTCACTCACACTCTCACTCTCACTCTCTCTCTATTTTACTCTCTTTTGACAGAGATCCAAAAACTATTCAAAAAACACTCGAGCTGAAACCAGGAACGACCATCGCTAACGACGTTACTTGGTATACGCCAGTTGAGCAGCTGATAACCCTGGCTTCGTTGAACACTGATAAAAGGGGATGTTAGGATAATAATAATGATGATGATGACAATGATGATGGGGGGTGATGACGGTGGTAAGCATGACAATAATGATATACGCCAAGCCAGTTTTTCGAATACTGAATACCGTTAAAATACGCCAGTGGCGTTAATGGCAAGAAATATACGCCTGCACGCAGAATTACGAAAGAAAGGGCCTCATTTAGCACTAGTTGTAATGGCGGCGGCGGGGGGGTGGTGGTGACTGATGATGGTGGTGATGGTAGTTGTAAAGGAGATGGTGATGGTGATCATGATGAGATGCAATTCAATGCCATGTTGATTCAGATTCAAAATAAACTGCGATCCTTTCCACTACGAACAAAATTATATTAACACCAAAAAAAATATATGAATAAATGTAAATTCTAACTCGAAGTAGTACACACGGTAAGGCACGAGTGGAATAAAAGAAAATAAAAAAAATAAAAAAATAATATATATACAATATACATATATATATATATATATATATATATATATATATATATATATATATATATATATATATATATATAATGAGTAGTAGATAAAGGAAAATCGTCAATGGTTCATAGTTTGAATAAATAAATGTGCTGAACATCTAAGGTCATTTAGCACTAATTGAAGGAGGAGGAAACGAAGAAAAGAGAAAAAGAAATCCAAAGATAAAGAGGAAAGAACGACTCCATCACCAGCATAGCGGAAGCAATGGTGGTTAGTAGTATATATTTCTCTCAATACAATTGGACAAAACGAGACTAATCACATCAATTATGTACTGATTTAACCTTTTGAAGATTAAAATAATGAGATTTTCATTAAATCAATCTTGCATTAGTTTAACCTTTTGAAAATAAAACGTGAATGTTTGCAAACAATGGATAACCTACCTTGGATTTGAAGCAAAAAAACGTTATTTTTCACCGGGAATCTTCAAATATTTTCTCATATCTCCATCGACTGTTGCAGAATGATCAACCAAATGCACACAATGCATTATTTTGTCTTGAAATCACTATGGTTATAAAGAAAAACCGAAATTTCGCAAAGAGCAACACGAAACACGCCTGTTTCACCAGATAAAATTTCGAACTACTTTTGAATTTCAAAAAGGTATATATAACTTATCTTCGAACACACTTCTTTAATTGCATTTGCTTCAGCATCGGTTAGACATTATCATTATATATGTAGAATAAGCAAATACTGCAGCTTCAGAGGACAAATTAAACTGGGTAAATTTTGTGTAACCGACATTTTTGCTTCTCGAAAAAATGGAAGAAATCTGTTTTGCCGTTTCTTGATTAAACTTTAGGATTCTCAATAATTAATAGCTTTCATATTCTGTGGAAAATTAAGTCACAGAACAGCATGAACACACACACACACCACACACCACACACACACACACACACACACACACACACACACACAACACACACACACGCACCACGCACGCACGCACGCACGCACGCACGCACGCACGCACGCACCACACACACACACACACACACACACACACACAACACACACACACACACACACACACACACACACACACACACACACACACACACACACACACACACATGCACACACGCCCACGCACACCCACACACAACCCCCCCCCCCCCTTCACACACACACACAGATAAATAGATAGAGAGACAGACTGACAGGCTGAAATAGAGATTGATATTCCGAGTTATTTGTTAGGACTTCAACCTTTCTGAAATGCTAGGTTTCTCTACCAACAATTTTAAGATTGGGTTAAGGTTTGGACATAGAAATCGTTTGGTTTATTCACAGTGGTGACCTTGAACAATTTTTATTAACTATTGCTACATTTCATACTGAAGGTAGACAAAACAACAATGATTAACAAAATAAAATAAAATACATTAGAAAGGCGAGACGATAACTTGAAAATCGGCTAGATTTCCTCTTCCGACTTCGACGAAAAATCAAATCGGATAATCTTGCTTTTTTGTTGAATGTTTATTTTTTTTATTCTATGTTTGTTGTTGTTGTTGTTTGTTGAATTGTTTTGGCTACGGCATTAGTATTTTTGTTGTTTTTTACCTTGCATCAATAGTTTCTCATCATCTTAAAAAGAAAATGAAAGAGAGAGAGAGAACGAGAGAAATGACGGTGAGCAAAGAAAGGAAGTAAATAGATGAGAAGACAGGGAGAGAGGAAAAGAGCAAAGAGGAGAAGAGGAAAGACATAATGAGGGAGAAAGAGAGAGAGGAGGAGGAGGGGACGCAAAAAAAAAAAGAGCAGAGAAGAGATAACAGAAAGAGAGAAGAGCAAAGAGAGAGAGAGAGAGAGAGAGAGAGAGAGAGAGAGAGAGAGAGAGAGAGAGAGAGAGAGAGAGAAAGAGAGAGAAGAGAGAAGAGAGAGAATGGGGGGAGAAAAAAGAAAAGAGAAGAGAGAGAGAGTGAGAGGAAGGGAAAGTGTGTGAGAGAGAGTGAGGGAGAGGAATAGACACAAAGGAGAGAGAGAGAGAGAGTTAGGGGAGAAGCAAAGAAAAGAAGATAGAGAGCGAGAGAGAGACTGAGGGGTAGTTGCAGAAAGGCAGATATATACTGTAAAAATTTATATTTCATTGAACACTACACTAGCAGTTAAATCTAGTATCAGGTGGTACATGTTCCACCATTAGGAACATGTACCACTTTTTCTGATTTAGAGATTGTCATATAAATGTATTTATCACTAATAAAAAGCATTTATGACAAAGCTTTCAAGCATTTAAAGTAAAGATTAGGTCAGTTTATTTGCAGACCTCCATCAGGACATTTTTGCACAGCACAAGACATAATTTTTCAGCAATAAATTTGCAACATTCATTTGACTGTATTTTTTTCCCAAACAATTAAGCAAGCAGCATCTTGTAGGAGACTGCATAATCATACTTGGGGGCCATTCACAATAGGAAATAGTTTAGATAGTCATTGTCAACTACAGTGGAATGGTTCCATGCCAGATCATCCCCATTTTTTATCATATGCAAATTTATGACTAAAATTGCATTATTAGATTATGTCACATCTTGGTGTGACTACATATTTCCTTTTTGGCTTTTTGGGGGGTGTTATATCGATGTATATTTCATCACTGAATGACAAAACAAAATAGAAAAATGGTGTAAATTGTGGAAATAATTATTGCATGGCACACTTTTCAAAAAAAAAAAAAAAAAAAAAAAAAAAAAAAAATCCTTTATATTTACATCCACCTTTGTTGTAGGAGTTTCCTTGTTGTGTCATTTTCTGAAGTCTATGCATATAGAAAAGGTTAAAAATGAGTTAATGGTTAGGACTAAATATGTTAATGTCAAAGGTTGTAGAGCGCTATTGGTTTGTATGGTAGTGAAAAGGGTAATGAGGGAGTACGAAGGCCATTCAGGACTGACACAAAGCCAGCCTTTCATCCTTTCAGCATGGCTCTCACACCTTAGGAAGTGGACATATGAAGGGAATGAAGAGAAGGAAAAGGAAAGGGAGAGAAGAAAAGACCAAGCAAAATTAGTTAAGGTGAGAGCTGAGGTCCAAGGCAGGGGTGATCCCCTACAGTAGGTCTCATTCTTCGTCTCCTAAGGTCCCCCCACAACAAGAGCAAGCAAAGAATTAGGGGCACCACTATAGTAATCCCTAAATTTTTAAACATGTTTACTAATTCATTTATTTATTGAAAATTTTCTGCCACATCAACATCTAAGAAAAGGCCATTAGCTGCGTATTCAGAATATAGCAATTAGGTGACGCTTGGAAGCAAAGCTGCCAGGTAAGGAAAGGTGATACAGCACAATGATAAAGTATTGTAACGCAAAGATTAAAGATGAGTTAATGATCAGGACAAAATATGTTAAATGTCAAAGCTTTAGGGTGGTGAAAAGGGAGAAGAGAGAGTGAAAAAAAGAAAAGAGCAAACAGAGTACGAAGGAAACAAAACACAAAGCCAAACTTTCATCCTCTCAACACAGCATTCACACTTTAGGATGTGGACAGAAGGGAGTGAAGAAGAGAAAGAAAAGGAAAGGGGGAAAAGAAAAGACCATGGAAAATTAGTTAGAGATGAGGGCTGAGGCCCAAGGTAGGGGTGATCACATTGGGTCTCAGTCTCCATCTCCTAAGCCCCCCACAACAACGAGCAAGGGATTGTGGAATACGTGGAATAAAGCTGCTTTTAGGTACCCTCCAGGATTAGGGACCCTAAAACTTAAATTACATTAGTTAATATTATAATGTCATTTGTAATTATAATGCTAATGAATATACTTTGAATACATATTTCTTTGGGAACATTAAATCAATTAAAAACTTTCTCTTTCCTCAGTCATGCTGTTTATCTACATATTTATCTAAATTTCTTTAATGTACAGAATTGTATTACAACTGCAGATATCCTTGCTCTCAGTATCATTCCCATATGAAGGAGGAGAAGGAAAAGAAGGAGTAGAAGGAGAAGAAAGAGAAGGAGAAGAAGGAGAAAAAGTATAAGTAGAAGTAGAAGAAGGAAGAGATGAAGATGAAGACAAAGAAGAAGACAAATCAAATGCAGGGAAATAAAACACAACTCAAAAGATACTTTTTAAATATTTTGTCATATAAATACAGTATAATTCTTTCTTTCTATATGTAGGTACAGAAGAAAATAAATGGAATGTTGCTAAACAACAATTTCTGCATTCAAATAAACGCCATTCTTAGGTACTAGATCAAAGTTTTCCTTGAGATCCTCATTTCAGAAATCCTTATATGGAATAAAATATATAATGATAATGATTACCGTAATAACCATAATAATGATAATACTTTTCATGCTTTGAAATTGGCAGTATACAGCTCATTGAACTTGGAGGCAACAGCATTACTGGCTGAGTAGTGAAGACACGAGTGTTATCCTTGGTTGTGATGTCTCAGAGTCGGTTCCTGTGAGAGTTGACTCATCAACCTGTAAGAAAAAAATAAATAAACAAATAAATGAAAAATCATAACTGCATTAATGTTCTAATGTGTAATCTTGTGGAGAATGCTCTTTTGATGGCAAATAACCATAAAAAATAAAAAATAAACAAAATCAAGGTTAAGGAGAAAACATTTAAATCATTCAAATACTGAGATACATTAGATAATAACCATGCTGACAGAACAATTGCAAAATGAATGTTTGATATCCAATGAAAAAGAAAATGATTGTGCAAGGCTTACCTGTTGCAAGTCTTGTGTTTGGAAAGAGGAAGTTGCTTCTTGTGCTCTTGTGTCATCACTGAGCACTACCATGTAGTCATCTGTAAGATGAAGGGTTATGATGTTCAAATAGAATTTGGCACCATTTCCATGCTCAACATCCTATTCCTGGTCATGGCGCAGGTTGTATTACAGAAAATTAAAGATACAAAAAATAGAAAATCACACAAATAACAAAATATTACATATTCTTATTTTTCTTGCACTGAGTTATGGACTACCTAGAGTGATAATATGGAGTCTGTGCAAGGAAAACAGTTTATCAATATCTGGATAAAACATGTCATGACAGTTATGGAAATTGGGAAATGGTAAAAAAGCCATAAAACACTTAAACATAAAAAGATAATATATAATTGCAAAGGAGAGTCATAGAGTCTTGTCACCGCACATGTTCATGTGTGCCCCACCTACAAGCTGTGCACCTGTCAAGAACAGCCACTAGCAAAAGCCTAATGCCCATATTTTGGGCCATGTGAGTGCTGTGAAGCAACTGCATCCAAGGGGTTTATACAGTCTCTTTATGACAATTTCATCAAATAATTCTTGGAAACAACTACCTCAACTTGAATGGGGTGAGACCACTGAAAATTTGAGGGGGATGGTTCTCTGAGCTTACCAAAGTTATCTTGAAGGCAAAAGGCAGACTTGTAGTCTTTTCTACTACTGTTCAAAACAAAAATTACAAATCATAAATAAAAATAAAACACGAAGTGAAAGAAATGGATTTTCTTACTTTATCTACACAATCAACTTACTTTCCAACTGCAAATGCAATGGTGCAAGTTGTGACAGAGGCACTGAGGTGATGCTGCCATCCTCACTGATGGTAACGGCATGGCTCAGTCCCGAGCTATCCACCTCCTTGACGCACTCCAGGCCACTGCTGCTCTCCTCCACACATCCTAGGTCCCCACTAGCCCCACTCTCCCCAACTGTGATCTCCATGCCACTACTAGGGCTTCCTGCACTCCCGTGGACCAGCCACTCGGCCACTGACACTCCTGAGAAAGGAAAATGTTATTAGATTACTAAGGCTTATTGCCAATGGGAGTCATTGTGCTATGCTATGTGGTCTTTTTTCCCATAGGAAGTAAACTGATCCATTAATAATCAAGTCGTATTAACCTATCAGCTTACATTAATATAGCTATAATAATTAAATAACTGGAAAAGTAACAACATGGAGGTATGTACACTATGTCAATAAAGATATCTTTATTGGATATAATAACAAAAGACATTTACTAGATTCTAAGAAGCCTAACCATGATTAATGAACTCTGCCCCTGGTCAGTCAACACATATCTTACTAAGTCTCCCAACTGGATCACAATAACAGAGCTCCCACCCGAATCACAAACAAAAAGGACCAACAGACACATATGTATATCCGAAGCTCAACTCACCAGCCTGAGCCTTGCACTGCCTTGCATGGTTTTTCAGTACAGCCATGGAAGACATCAGAGTGCCACATCCCTCACAAGTCACAGCAGAACCTTGCCTGCTGATAGTCTCTGCTGTTGGAGAAATGGAAAATGCTGTTCTGAGGCCAAAGGTATGAACTATATGAAAGTAACTTATTATTGTTGTTGAGCTAATGTAAAGATAATTTTTAGCTTGTGTATTTTCTAGATTATAAGTAGCCAATATGGAAGTCATATACACAAAATCTTTATCTATATCTAAACACGAATATAAACCACATATCAGTACTCCATAAAACAAAAAGGAGAGAGAAGACAAAAAGTTATATCATAATACTTGGTCTACTTACCATGTGTTACTGATTGTTCAGCGATTGTAATGAGCTTTGTCTCTTCACTATCAGCTGTATGCATGACAAAAATGTGGTGTTTGATGTCTCCTTCTTCATCTTTATCTGCTTCACTCCCATCTCTGGTATCCTCTTCACCTTCATTATCCACATCCTCATCTTCATTTCTGTTTTCCTCATCATCTTCATCGACATGTGTTAAGAGAATTCTTTCTTTTCTACCTTCTGTTTAGAAAATAAATAAATAAACAAAAAAAGTAAGTAGGTGCCTCTAAACCTTAATATTCTTTACAATGTTATAGCCTACAAATGTGCTAAGTAAATACATTTATCTGAAAATCAACACAGTAATTGCAGACTGCAAATCTACATATCACTGCATTATTTTTGATTGCATGGCAGTCATTCATTCCGTGCACTATTTCTTGGAATACACTGCCCTTTCATGCTTCTTCAGCATTATTATCAAATATTTTCCTTGCATAAGAAGTTCTCTCCTCCTAGTTTAGGCTAACCTTATCCAGGCATTTAATGAAAATAGAAACTGTTTTACTGCAACGAAATAGAAAAACTTGCAGTGATTAAAGAATAAAAAAAAAAAAAAAAAAAAAAAAAATCAAGAAGAAAGGTTGACCATGGCAAATAAATATTAAATAATTCATGTACCTTGTTGATTTTGACTGTTCAATCTGATGATACTGGCTGCAGCTGGCTCCCTCCCATGCTGGCCCTTGACATGACGAGAACAGGCAGCAAGTTCATGAAAGCCTGAAAATGACAATGTACGGCTCAGTATCAGATTATGACTAAGAATGTTGTCTCTGTAGATGTTATTGGCTGTTGTATCTCAAGAGCAAACTAGATACAAAAACAAAAATAAATACAGTAAAACTTGTATATATGAAGTCCTATTAACCAATCAGTGCTAAGTACATACACTGTCTAATGTGGTTGTATTTTATCAATTTTGTTTACACATAGTGAGTTCTACAAGTGATTAGTCACCAAAGAGCCAATTACTAGGCCTACCTGAACATACCTGTTTACCAATTCCTTGATTTTCTTGGAAGAAGCTCTGATTTCTATTACAATAATTATACTAATATTAATACTAATATTGTTAATAATAACAATAGTAATTATAATAATAATAATAATAATAATAATAATAATAATATAATCATCATCATTATTAGCATTGATATTATTCTAACATTATTCAAAGTATACCAGTAATAATAATAAAAAAAAACTATGAAATCTCAAGGAATGGTGTAAAGCTAAGGTACATACAAGACAGGTAGTACTAGCTCTTTCTCCATTTAGCCAATTAAACCCAAAAATGAATTTGGCCTTTTTCCTTAGTTTTCTGGCAACTGTTTATGGTGTGGAATACTTTGTTATCATAAATAAGAGTGGAATTTTTCTTTTTTTTTTTTTGGTTATTATAATACTATAAAGTAAATCATACAAATAATTTTGGATGTAGCTATATCTAATACCTTGTGTCACACCATGATTGGTTAATGTGACTTGATATTTCCCATGAAATAGTTCATTAATGACAATGATATAATTATTTTCTAATGCTTTAATATTGCTGCTGTTATTAGCATTACTGACATTATAACCATAATTATACTATAATACTAATAGCGATAAAAAAATAAAATATTCTTGAATACTGAGGAAAATGGTAAACAAATACGATAAGTTGGACTAGTAATTGACTCCTTGGTGACTGAGTGTTTGTGGAGCCATCTATGTGTATAACATGCCATCTTAGAACAAAGGGCTAATCAATTAATTATCATTTAATCAGTGAATCATTCAATCCAAAAGAAAGTTTTCAAATAGACTTACTTTTGCCGCATATCTTGCAAACATACGGCTTGAAGTTGTAGTGCCTGTTCTTGTGTTCCTGAAGGGTTTGAGGGCGAGCAAAGGAAGAGCCACACACATCGCAATGGTATGGCCGTTCCCCAGTATGAGTGCGCATGTGTCTCTCCATGTCCCCTAGGAAATTCAATTTTGTAAAGCTAAACTGAACACTTATTATATATTATGGAAGTTGAGGCTTTTTAATGATTTGTAACTATCAGTAACTTCTACAGTTTCAAAGGGAAATATTCATCTGAGTAGTAAATAGATATATTATAAATT